CTCTCCCTTCCTCTTTCTAAAAAGTCAATAAAATATATATTTTTTTTAAAAAAAAGAAAGAAATTTCAATCATTGTACTGTTGATATTTGGCTCTGCTGACTAATGAGTTTGCCGACCACTGAACAACTATCACTGAGGGCCTTCTACGTGCCAGGCACGGTGCTAAGGGCCTCCTGTGTCAGTTGATCCTCACCGCTCCCGTAGGACGATTACCGATCCACCTCACCATGAGGACACCGGACCCAGAAGAGCTGGCAGGCGGCAGGGACAAGGACTGGCTTGGGAGTGAGAGAGGAGGCCCAGGCCGGCCGTGTAAGCTCTGCTCTGTGCTGTCCGAGTTCTTGGCTGTAAACAACAAAACCTAACTAGGTTCACGGGAGCGAGAGAGGAAGCGATGGGGCAGCTCTGAGGTGTCTCACAAGACCTGTTGGGCCGAGACCGGTTTGGCTCAATGGATAGAGCCTCGGCTTGGGGACTGAAGGGTCCCAGGTTCGATTCCGGTCAAGGGCATGTACCTTGGTTGCGGGCATATCCCCAGTAGGGGTTGTGCAAGAGGCAGCTGATCGATGACTCTCTCTCATCGATGTTTCTAACTCTCTATCTCTCTCCCTTCCTCTCTGTACAAAATCAATTAAAAAAAATTTAAAAAAAAAAAAGACCTGTTGGGAAGAAAGGCTGGGAATGAAGTTAGGAAAAACTCACAGGAATCACAGGAAACTGGGTGGCTGGACCCACCCCCTAGCCAGTCACCTCCTGGGGCTGCTCCCACAGGAAGTCGCTGGAGACCGCCGGCCCTGGCACTGGGAGGGCAAGTTCCCTCCTGTTGCTTGGCTCTTTGGGACACCTGCTCCGTAGTCTAGGACAGTGGTCGGCAAACTGTGGCTCTTCCACGAAATACCACGTGCGGGTGCGCACGTACAGTGCGATGGAAACTCCGTGGCCCATGCACAGAAGTCGGTTTTCGGCCTGGACGAGTCCATTTTGAAGAAGTGGCCTTAGAACACTCAAGGGGCCAAAGAGCCGCATGTGGCTTGCAAGCAGCGGTTTGGTGACCACTGGGCTAGGAGATACCTAGACTCCTGTCTGTCCTGGCCGGAAATCTCTCCCTCCCAGAGCCCCGCCATGGAGGGGCCTTCTCTCCAGAATGCACGATTATTCAGCTGCTGCACAGCAAACGACAATGACACACACACACACACACACACACACACTCACTCACCACAAGCCCCAGGGGCCGTAAGCATTGTCCATCAGCTCTCATCATCTATCATCTCAGCCTTCCTGGGCCTTCTCCCATGTCCAGAGTGAACCCTACTTAGGAGGGCTGCTCAGAAATCTCAGGCTTCCGTTTGTTTTGTTTTTCAAGGGAGAGTGGAGGGAGGGGGAGAGACACAGAGAGAGAAACGTCCATGTGAGAGACACATGGATTGGTTGCCTCTCGCATGCGCCTCAACCAGGATTGGGCCCCTCGACCAGGATTGGGAATTGGGCCTGCAGCCGAGGTACATACATGCCCTTGACCGGGAATCAAACCCGGGACCCTTCAGTCCTCAGGCGGACACTACCCACATGCTCTGCCCTCTGCCTGGCAGCTTTTCCCCCAGATGCCACCAGCCTGGTCTCCTCTCCGAGGTGGCGCTCTCCCTCCCCGGGGAGCGAGAAGGAATTTCAGAGGATGCACAGGAATTCCTGACATCCTGGCGGAGCCGGCGGTAATAGGCACCTTCGCAGCGGCAGCGGAACCGCCTGGCTCTAAATCACAGGGGCCTTTCCCTCTCCTCCCTCCCCTCCTCCCCCGCCCGCCCCCTCCGGCCGGCGCGAGGAGCTGCGCTCCGGGGCGGGGGCGGGCTCCGTCCTCCATCCTCCGTCCTCCAGCGCGGGGACCCCCGCTGCAGGTGCCGCGGAAATACCTGCCCCGCTGCCCGCCTTTGAAGTTGGCCTGTGCCCCCTTCCCATCGCGGAGCCCCCCAAGGGGGATCATTACAGCCAGCGACCGCAGGGAATCCCCTCGGATTCTCGGGAGCCCCTCCCTCTGGGAACCCCTCCTCCTGGGAGCCCCCCCCTTCTGGGTGCCCCTCCCCCTCTGGGTGCCCCTCTCTCTGGGAGCCCCTCCCTCTGGGAGTCCCGCCCCCTCTGGGTGCCCCTCTCTCTGGGAGCCCCTCCCCCTGGGAGCCCCTCTCTCTGGGAGCCCCCCCCTCTCTCTCTCAAAAGAAAAAATAATTAATATATAAAAAAGCACACAGTACCATGCTTGGCCCATAGTAAGCCCTTAACAGAAGTCAGCACCAAAATCACAACCAGGCAGTGCTTCCAAGGCCTCTCTTCACGGCGTCCCACTTCCTGAGTCTCTGCTGCTGGTGTCACTCCCATTTTGCAGGTGGAACATGAAGGATCGAAGCTTTCCCCAGGGAGCATATGAAAACGTCAAAACGCAGGTGCGTGCCGGGACCGGTTTAGCTCAATGGATAGAGCGTCGGCTTGAAGGGACTGAAGGGACCCGGGTTCGATTCCGGTCAAGGGCATGTACCTTGGTTGTGGGCACATCCCCAGTAGGAGGTGTGCAAGAGGCAACTGATCGATGACTCTCTCTCATTGATGTTTCTAACTCTCTATCTCTCTCCCTTCCTCTCTGTACAAAATCAATAAAATATATTAAAAAACAAACAAAAAAACGCAGGTGCGTTTACATCCCAAGCCTGAGCTCTGCTGTGGCCACCTTCAAATTCCTACTAATTCTGATCATTGGGCCCCACCGTCTCTTTTGCACTGGGCCCTGCAGATGATGTTGCTGGTCCCGCCTGTCTTCTCTTGCAGAGAAGATGTCTTCCTGGCGAAGAAAAGCAAGCTGAGGTGCAGAGAGGGGGATGTGACGTGCACAAGGTCACGTAGCAAGTTGGTGGCAGAACTAAAGCAGGCCTCCCTCCTGACCACCTGCCCAGCAGAGTTCTCTGGGAGCACTCCCGTGTCCAACTATGCCCTAGAGGGGGAGGTTGTGAGGGGCCACTGGCTTCGAGGGGCGGGGCAGGGGCGTGAGAAGGGAGGGGGAGGAAGAGGAGTGTTAAAAAAAAAAAAAAAAAGCACTTAAAAGATCTGATTCCCTGCCTCGAATTCTGAGACCCACCAAGATTGACATATTGCCCTAGCCCGTTTGGCTTGGTACATAGAGTGTTGGCCTGTGGACTGAAGGGTCCTGGGTTCAATTCCAGTCAAGGGCGCATGCCCAGGTTTTGGGCTTGATCCCCAGTGGGGGGCGTGCAGGAGGCAGCAGATCAATGATTCTCTCTCATCATTAATGTCTCTCTCCCTCTCCCTTCCTCGCTGAAATCAGTAAAAAATTATTTTAAAAATAGATTGATATTTGGATGGATGGACATGAGTGCTCAGACATCTAGTGCCTGTGCCCTGTTTAAGATTCTGTTTGAGGCAGGCACTTCTGTGTGCTTGTGTGCTCCTGCATGTGTACCTCTGTGTGTGTACGTGTGTGTGTGTGTGTGTGTGTGTGTGTTGTGAGGATGGTGGGAAACAGACTAAGTATGGAGGAGAAAACATCCAATTTTTTGCTGCTTTCATTCACTTTTTAAAAATATATATATTTTATTGATTTTGTACAGCGAGGAAGGGAGAGAGAGAGTTATAATAGAAACATTGATGAGAGAGAGTCATCAATCAGCTGCCTCTTGCACACCCCCTACTGGGGATATGCCCGCAACTAAGGCACATGCCCTTGACCAGAATCGAACCCGGGACCGTTCAGTCCCTAAGCTGACGCTCTATCCATTGAGCCAAACCGGTTTTGGCTCATTCACTTTTTAATTCCCCAGATATTTCTGGGATAAAACCCAGAAATACAGACATCCCTAGGATGCTGACACCAGCAGCAGAAACTCAAGGGAGTGGACGCAGTGAAGAGCAGGCCTTGGGAAGCACTGTGTCTGGTGGTCTGGGGGGTCGCCTCAGCCTGCCTGTGGTGTCCCCAGGGCGCCCACGGCCAGGGGCAAGCAAGGCGGACAATAACACTAATAATCACACAAATCAATACATGTATTTGTTTCCTGTGCCCAGACTTTTCCTCCGTTGAGTAATTCACAGTTTGACATAAGGGGGTTAATGGTATATCCGCAGATGGAGGGGAACCCCGTGCCCATCCCAGCTGACTCCACAGCTGGCCGTGGCATTTGGCGGCATTCGGTCATGGCTGGGGATGAGACTTACCGTGGGGCTCCACATACCTCTCTGGGGCTGCCTGGAATCCCACTGGGGGCCGTATCTAGGATTGAGCGCTTCTCTTTTTCTGAGATCCTGTTTAAAATCCAATCCCCGGGGGGGGGGGGGGGCAGGTGGGTTCACCGAGTCCATAGCTCAGTGCTGGGCCATGAGACGAGGCTGCCCAAAAGATGCCCCGGGTGGGTGAGTGCCACAGGGGATGAGAGGGGCCCAGGACAGTCTCCTCCATCCTCCCTGCTGGTGACTCAGCCTGGCTCTGCCTGCAGAAGGGAGAGCTAGGGAGGAGTGGTGGGGGTGGGGGAGTGGTAAGGCCTAATCAAAACCCAAACCCAGAATCCCACAGCCTGGCTGCCAGCTGGAAAAAGCCAGGAATTCCGGGCGCATCCTACCTGCAGGGCCGCTGTATCAGATTCCCCCTCCCGTACTGTTCCATCTGGGACAGTCCTGCTTCCCCCACATCCACTCTGTGGTTGCCCACAGGACTTGATAAGAACTTTAAAGGTTTTTGAAACACATTTAAGTACCCTACCTGCTCTCCTGCCCAGAGGCCAAATTTGGCATTCTATGGGGTGGGAGAGGGTGGGTGGAGGAAGAAATGGAGCCCTGCTACCCCAGAAGGCCCTGGACAGAGGCAGGGGAAGTCCTCTCTGGCGGCTGCAGCACTGTCCCAGGCGGGCGGGCGGGCGGCTGGTCCCCTCATACAAGCATCTGCATGCTTCCTTCCTTGCTTGCTTCCTTCCTCTCGGCCCCTCCCTCACCAGCCTACCTGGAGGCAGGTAATAAAGCAGAAGGAGGGAGAAGGATGGATGGGGAGGGCGGAGAGCCACGTGGTGCCATAAAGCCCAGCTAACGAGCCCCCGTCCTGGGAGTGTCCAGCCTGCGGGAGGGGAGCCAAGGCTCGGAGGGGGACCGCCAGCCTTGGGAGCCGGAGCCGGAGCAGCTGGGCCTGGAGGAGGCCATGCACCGAGGCGCGCCAGGACCAGGCCTCCGGGGCCTCCAGGGGGCCGAGGGCTCCGTCAAGGACTCGGGGGGCTCTGGCCCGGAGGCCGGGAAGGATTTTGGGGTGCTGAGGGAGAACGGCGCCCCCCGCGGCCTGGGCGAGGCGGAGGAGGTGGCCGGCGGCAAGAAGCGCGCGCGGCCGGTGCGGTCCAAGGCGCGGCGCGTGGCGGCCAACGTGCGGGAGCGCAGGCGCATCCTGGACTACAACGAGGCCTTCAACGCGCTGCGCCGGGCCCTGCGGCACGACCCGGGCGGCAAGCGGCTCTCCAAGATCGCCACGCTGCGCCGCGCCATCCACCGCATCGCCGCGCTCTCCCTGGTGCTGCGCGCCGGCCCCGCGCCCCGCGGGCCCTGCGGGCACCCCGAGTGCCGCCGCCAGGCCGCGCCCCCGGCCCCGGGCTCCGGCCCGCAGCCCGCCCCGCGCTGCGCCTCCTGCTCCCCGCACCCGCCCCCGGGGCGGCCGGGGCCCGGGGCGCAGGGCTTGGCGCAGGCTTCCTCCGCGGGGAGCTGGCGCTGGTGCCCCCGGGCGCCCTTGGCTTGGCCGCTGGGCCACCAGCACCCCTGACCGACCTGCCCGCGCGGCACAGGGGCCGGTGCAGGGAGGAGCCAAAGCCGGGAGGACTGCGAAAGAGAAGACGGCAGAAAACAAAACCCAAACCCGGGGAGACCGCGCCGAGGCCCCAGGGGAGAGGAGGCTTGGCCCGCGGGGAGGAACCGAGCCTGGGGCTGCGTACCCCGCCGGCTCTGGCTCTGGCTCTGGCTCTGGCTCTGGCTCTGGCTCTGGCTGGCGTTCGGACTCGATGCGCTCCTGCAAGGAAGTGACTTTGTGTTCCTGTGCCTCTAATTGACTCCCGCTGTCCCAACCCAGCTGCGTTTTGGAGAATGGGTGCTTTGGGACGGGGGACTGGTGTGTGTGAGTGTGGGCGCACTGGTGTGGTCTGATAGCGCAGTGTGGGGCCCCCCGCCCCTGCCTGAGCGGATGTCCCAAGTCTGTGCTCTGGGAGGGGTGACCAGCAGCAGCCAAATAAAACGGAAGCTAGCATCTCTGTCTGCTACCAGCACGCCATGGGGCCGGAGGCTCAGCGTGGCCCTGGGTGGGTGGCAGAGGGCCTGAGGGACCTGAGAGGCCTGGGGGCTGCCCCTGGAATGTTGGGGCCCTCCCCCATGAAGGCCCAGGTGGGTACTTGGAGGCATTGAGTCATTCATTGCAAGACCCCAGGTGAGGGGCACCGTGGGAAAGGACATCCTTGGGAACAGGGAGGCCAGGCCTGGAACGGGGAGGATGTGATCAGCCCCCCTCTGGACCCTGTGCCTCTACCAGCTGCAGCCGGCCACAGTGAGGACAGCAGTGGAACAGTGTGGGCCAGCCCCCCAGAAGGAAGCTGAAGGTAGGGCCCAGGAGCGGGGTCAGTGACTCCTGCCTGTCCCCCAGTGAGGAGCTGGAGCTCCCAGGGAACCGGCGCAGCCGGGGCTGCTGTGTTGAGAGGGGGCCTTAGAACCCAGGAAGGATTACAAGGAGGAGGTTAAGGGAAGTGGGGCCTCAGGCCAAGGGTCCAGAGGAAGTGAGGGGCACAGCCAACCCCCTGCCCCCAGAGAGGTCTGGAGAGCCGGTGTCATCTAAGACCCAGACGCTCCTGTGCTAGCGTCTGGCCTCACTGGGGCGGGCCTGGCTGCTGGGGGAGGACCCGGATGTGCCAGGGGCAGGCTGAGCCTTCTCTGGTCTCCTCGGAGAGCTGGGCTCTTGCCAGCTGGGGGAAGAGTGGCACCACTCAGAATGGGGGGGCCCCACAGGAGCCCGAGAGACGCTCTTAGCCCTGGAGGAGGGAGGGCTCCCCAGAACAGCTGGGGTGAGGCTCACTGCCATCATTCAAGATGCCTTTGCTTGCTGGCTGGTGCACTTGGTTCACAGACTCCCAAGTTCACAGGGCAGGGGGCTGGGGCACAGATCACAGGAGGGCTGTGACTCTGGGTCATGGATGGTGTCCAGCCAGGAGCAAACTGTGGGACTCCAGCCCCAGGCCTGCCCGCCGAGCCAGCCCTGTCACGAGAGGCAGCACCGCAGTCTGAGGGCGCACAGACAGGAGACAGGAGCCTGGCCGCCCATCTCTGCGTGTCCACGGACTGCCTGTGTGACCCCTGGCATCGCTTAACCTCTCTCCGCCTCTCCTCGCTCACCTCCGTCCCAGGCAACTGCCTCCGGGTAGTCGTGGGGACCAACATTCCTTCAAAACGCACCATTTCTGGCAATTAGAAGGTGTCCCATAAATTGTTACTAATTCTATATCATTACACTCTTACGACAGACCAGCCTGGACAGCGCTTCCACCTTGCTTCAGCCTGAGGCTTTTATCCTCCGCTTCCCTAAATTCCAGGACCGAGAGAGCCCAGTGCGGCACCAGCGGGTGAGGGTGCCCCTGAGGGTGGGGGAGTGAGTGTCCGGCAGAAGTGTGAGGTCCGCAGAGGCTGGGAAAGTGCCATCGACCCTCAACCCTGGGGGAGGGTTAGGGGCTCGGGCCACACCCACAACGAAATATCCGCCCGTAATTTAAGTCAGTCCTCCGCGTATTGTGGATTCCTGTCGGAAGACTGAAAATACACCCTCGAACACCACAGGTTCAAACGGTGGGGGGCCACGTAAACACAAGATTAAAAAAAAAAATCCTTGAATAAGAGAACGCACGAGGTTCAAATCCAGTTTTCAAGGGTATTTCTCAGCCTCCTCACTTATCCGCTGAGTCATCCTGGCACGTGGCCTCAGGATGGTGAGCCTCGGTGTTCCCATCTGTATAATGGACTTACATAATGAGACTGACATCATAGGCTGCTGTGCAGACTAAATGGGCTAATGCACTTACTTAAAGCACTTAGCGTAGTGCCTGGCCCAGGCAGTGCTCACTGACTGGAAGCCATTAAGACATATTCTATTCACAAAGGCTGGAATAAGGGGAGGACGCATGGGAAGGTAAGTTTGTAAACTAGAGTCTACACAGCATAGCGGTTACTATTGTCTTATCGGGGCTATGTGTTTGTATGCACACACCTGTATATTTGCCTGCTGACATGCGTTTGCCTAGCATCCTGGGATCCTGGTTGTTTTTCTTTACATGCACAGATTATGGTCATGCTTATATAGATGTGTGGATGTGCATTGGTGTGTGCATATGTATATGTATTGACCTAGCAGGCACCCCCTTCTCTCCCAGAGGCTTTTAGGGGATCCCAGGCCAGAACACCCTTAATGGTGTGCCTCCTAGGCTTTTTGGATCCCTGGCTTGATTTTTTAAAAAAATACATTTTTATTGATTCCAGAGAGGAAGAGAGAGAGAGGAACATCAGTGATGAGACAGAATCATTGATTCGGCTGCCTCCTTACACCCCTCCCTGGGTCTGGAGCCCAAAACCCTGACTGGGACTCACTGTGCCTTCCTGGTTCATAGGTTGATGTTCAACCACTGAACCACGCTGCTGCTTGATTGTTGTTGTTTTTTTATCTGCTTCCAAGACCATACCATTCTTCAAGATGACGGATTTGCTGTGGAGAGAAGATAAATCTGTGAGTGTTCAAGAAATGGAAGTTATCAACTGAGACCAGATAGGTTTGTCCAAATACAGAGGAAAACAGTACAAGATAGGTATGAAGGGAACATAAAATGGCAAGTCCTGGAGAGAGAAAACATATGTAAGACAGAGCTGCTACAGGCATGCCCCACAGATATGAACGTGCACACAGACAGACATGATGCACGTATGCGGTGAGCACCAGCGGCCCACTCAGATGTGCTCCGCGGAGAGGGAGCGGTGACCTTGCAAGGGCGGAGGGCGATAAATGACAGCACTCCCAGCAACGCCGCACTCACAAAGGGCCAGCCCTCAGTCTCCTGGCTTCTCCTGAAGTCTGTGCCTCCCAACCCCTCCCTCACACTCCCTGCCTCTCTCACGGGGAAGAGCACCTCACCTCTCTAGCCACGAACAAGACATACCAGCAGGAAGAAATAACAATGATCAGCCCTATCCGGTTTGGCTCAGTGGATAGAGCATTGGCCTGTGGACTGAAAGGTCCCAGGTTCGATTCCGGTCAAGGGCATGTACCTTGGTTGCGGGCACATCCGCAGTAGGGGGTGTGCAGGAGGCAGCTGATCGGTGTTTCTCTCTCATCGATGTTTCTAACTCTCTATCCCTCTCCCTTCCTCTCTGTAAAAAAATCAATAAAATATATAAAACAAACAAACAAAAAACAAAAAATGATCAGACCCAGTGTCATCAGGGATGTGGAGAAAAGGGCACATGTACAGATTTCTAGTCATGTGCATCTGTTCCTTTTTGGTCAAGAGCAATTTTGCAAAATCAAAGTCAAAATACTTCAAAGGGCCTGGCCAGTGTGGCTGAGTGTTGACCACTGCTCACTGCTTAGCACCTCGGTGCTCAGGGGAGCGAGGCTGGGGCGGGCGGAGGTGGAATGAGTGGGGTGTGGACATGCCTCGGGTGCCTGGTTAGAGTTTTCTTCTCCCTCCAGTTCACCCGGCCACCCTTCGCTCTAAGCCAGGCACTGCCCGCCCCTCCACGACCTCCTAGCCCAGTGGGGAAGGGGGCAGAGAAGGCAAGGATTTTCTTCAGTTCCCTGTGCCCACGCCAGGGAGAGGCCTCTGCAGACCAGGAGGGCCACCCATCTGCCTAGCTGGGCAGAGCTCACAGCTCGGCAGACCCCTGAGGCGAAGGTGGCGTTGGAGGAGCTCAACGCTCTCCCTTCTGAAGACACAGCTGCCCTGTGGCTCTGCAGAGAACGGCCCAGGGCTCTGAGATCCTCCTAAAATGCCAGTTTTGGTGAGAACTCGATTTTAAAAACAAAACAAAGCACGTGCTGAGTCAATATCGTGCAGGCCCAGCTCACTTTGAATGTTGGATATGCCCGTGGACCTCCACCTAAGACTTCATTTGGGGGGTGAGGGAGTGGGAGCTGGAGAGCAGCTCTAGAGTGGAAACTGGATACTCCCTCTCCCTGCCTCTTCCTGCCCCTCACTGTCTCTCCATGCCTCTCCCTGCCTCCTGTCCCTGCCTCTCCCCCTCTCTCTGCCTCTCCCTGCCTCCTGTCCCTGCCTCTCCCCCTCTCTCTGCCTCTCCCTGCCTCTCCCTGCCTCTCCCCCTCTCCTTGGTCTCCACTCCATCTCTCATCATCCGCCTCAGCACCACGAGGCCACTAGATGGCACCATGAGCCCAGCATCTCCTGGAGGCTGAGCAAACCCGAGTTCCCAAATCCTGAAGGCTGACCCACCCTGCAATATCACAGCCATGGCCCACCCTGGGAGTTCCTGGTTTGCCTTTTCTCTCTGAGTTTTCATTAAGTCAAAAAACCCCTTTATGTCAGATTCATTCTATCTCGAGGCCAGCATTGCCCAACAGAAATATAATGCCAGCCAGGTTTCTCATTGTCGAGTAGGCACATTAAAAAAGTAAAAAGACGCAGGTGGCATTAATTTTACTAGTTTTCTTGGGCTCAGTGCATCCAAAATATTATTTTGCTATATAATCAATATACAAAATATGAGTGGGAATATCTTGCATTCTCTCTCCTTTTTCTTTTTTTCCCCTTTTTTGTACTAAGTGTCGGAAATGCGTGTTTTATGTGCACAGCACAGGCCAGCTGGGCCCAGCGCTCAGTAGTCCTGTGGCTAGGGGACCCGGAACTGGGCTGGAGGACCCGAGTTCTGCCACCCAAGGCCCAGCTCCCAGGTTGTCACATGGAATTCGGCCCAAACTGGATGCTGACAGAGGGCCTCGGGGTCTCAGGGACCCAACTTGCCACCCTCTGCAGGAAGCCTCATAGTTAAGAAGGTGTCGGCACATTTGTGGGAGTTCCTGGGCCGGGGGCTCAGCTCGCCCCATCTTCCTGTGCGAACTTGGGTTGGTGAGAGCCCTCGGGAGGGCCCAGGAGAGGGAGAAGCCACGCCCCAGCCCTGTGCCCAGGCAGGGCAGGGGGCCTCTCTCACGGCCCCGGAGGTCTGCATATTCATCCATCCTGAGTATTCATCCGCCCTGGAGGTCTTCATTTTGCAATTAACAGTGGATCTCCAGGATTGAGCAACCATTCCTAACTTAATGTAGTCATATTCATCCATCCTGAGTATCTGCCTCAAAGGCAAAAACAATTTTTTTAAACAATTTTTTTTATTGTTGCTCAATCCTCTCCCCCTCCCCCTGTGCCCAGTTCTTTACGATCCCTGCCCATCACACTCCCTCCTCTGCCTGTGTCGTTCCTGCTGGAAGCGGCACTTCTGAAGCCAGCTAAGCACCCCCCCAAAGCCATTTCTTTCTGCTGAAATGGTTCGTCTGGCTTCACACTGGCCCTCGGACCGGACCTGACCGGAGACTGGTATCTGGTGGGGATGCAGACTGAGATGAGCACCACTCTCCATTCCCAGGCCTTGGTTTCTAGTCTGTGAGAGCGAAGGGTTCAAACACCTCACCTCTGAGCTGCCTTCCATCTCTGACCTCCCCCACCATCATGCATGACCCCAGGGTTTGAAACTGCTACAGCCTCCTGCACACCACACACACACACACACACACACACACACACAGACACTCACACACTCACACACACACACACACACACACTCACACACACATACACACACTCACACTCACACACACACACACACGCTCACACACACTCACACAGACACACACACACACAGAGACACTCTCACACACACACACACACACTCACACACTCTCACACACACACACACACACACTCACACAGACACACACACACACAGAGACACTCTCACACACACACACACACACACTCACACACTCTCACACACATACACTCACACACACTCACACAGACACACACACACACAGAGACACTCACACACTCACACACTCTCACACACACACACACTCACACACACACACACACTCACACACACTCACACAGACACACACACACACTCACTCACACACACATACACACACTCACACACTCTCACACACACACACACACACACTCACACAGACACACACACACACACACACACACACACCCTGGTGTTTCCAGGTCCTCCTTACAAAGGTAAGGAGAGAGACTGGAGACAGAGATGTGGGGACATACAGATGTGGGGACAGAGATGTGGAGAAGAGAGAAGGAAGCAGAAACACAGAAGACAGAAGAGAGAACAGAGACAGTACAAATCCGAGTGGACAGGCAGCCAGAAGCGGGGCCCCTGGAGTTGGCATGGGCCCCAGGAGTCCCGGGGGCCTGATGGGCATGGGATGGGGCTAACACTCCTCCCAACACCCGCTCTCCCACACCTCGGTGAGCTGCTCAGAAACCCATCCAGTGGGCCCCGTTGGTCCAGGCAGGATCCTGCAGGGCCCACACTGGGCTCCCTCTCCCCTTCCCTCCTGGAGCCAGGAGCCAGGAGCCAGGAGCCAGGAGCCAGGCTCTGGCCTCGAAGCCTCTGGAGGTGGAGGTCGCGGTCATGGCCGGGGTGGGATGCAATAGGTTCAGAGCCCCGTGTTTCCGGACAGCTAAGAGGAAGCAGCCCCCTGTCCCAGGGGAGGAAAAGCGGGGGGCTCAGTCCCCAGGACAGCTGGAGAGACCCCACCCCGTGTACCCACTCTCTCTCTTCCCCCACCCAGAGCCCCCCGCCCAGAGGAGCAGGCCCGTGGCTGCGCCGGGCAGAGGAGGTCGGCCGAGTCCCTCCCTGCGGGCCGGGCTGGCAGAGTGGGGCTGGGCCGGGCTGGGCGGTTCCCGGGGGAGAGGAGAACTGAAAGGGAAAAGCTTCTCTGAGGCGGGCAGGGAGAGGGAGGCCGCTGGGACACACACACACACACACACACACACACACACGCACACGCACACACACACACACTCAGCCGCCCTGACTTCGCCAGAGCCTCACTCTGGAGAGGAGCCTCCTCTCTCTGCTCCGCTCGCTGCTCGCTGCCGCACCCCCGCCCATCCGCGCTGCCAGCAGCATCAGCAAAGTTGGCCTCCAACTTGAACGGAAGGGAAGTCTCGCTCCGGCTCCCAGCGGCTCGGCGGGCAGCGGGCCGGCCCCAGACGCCCGACTCCGTGGGCCTGGACAGCCCACCCTCCCACCCTTCTCCCGGGGACACTTAGGCCCTGACCTGCGGCCCCCGCCCCCCGGCTGGGCTGAGGCATGGGGCGCTGAGGTCCCTCTGGAACCCCTTTCTCACGGTGTGGAACCCAAGCGGCCCAACGTCCGAGCCAGCATGGCCACGCCCGTGCAGCCTCAGTCTCCCCCTGCGCGGGGGCAGCCGGGCGCCGCCTCGCCCCTGGACCTGCCTGAGATGGAGATGCTGCTCACCAAGGTGCAGGGCCAGGGGGACAGGCCCCTGAAGCTGCCCAAGTCCCTCTCGGGGGCGCTGGACCTGGAGCAGAACGGCCACGGGCTGCCCTTCAAGGTGGTGTCCTCCGAGGGGCGCCGGGAGGCCTCCCTGCCCCGCTCGCCCTCGCGGGCCAGCTCCCGGCGGGCGTCCTCCACGGCCACCGCCTCCGACGCCCAGGACGGGGAGGCCCCCAAAGATTACCTCATCCTTGCCATCGCCTCCTGCTTCTGCCCGGTCTGGCCCCTCAACCTCATCCCCCTCATCTTTTCCATCATGGTGAGTGCTGCCCTCTGCGCCAGGGCCCGGCGGGCACGGGGGGGGGGGGGTGGTGGCAGGTGTGCTCCCTGGCATGGGTGCAGGGAAGCGAGAGGTGGGACCCAGGGGCTGGGGGAGAGACCCCCTTTCTCAGCTGGCCGACTACCCCCCCTTAGAGGAGGGTGTGGGCCAGGAGAGGGTTTGCTTTCTGTTCTCTGATCTCTGCTCTTCACTTTGCACAGAACCCTGTGGGGGAGGGGGTCCGAGGAGCCCCCTGGAGCTAAATGCCAAAGCACAGAGACGGCCATGTGGGGGTCTTGTCTTTGGGGGTGGCGGGGAGGGCTGTCCCCAGCAGCCACTCCTGAGCAGGGCTGTGCAATCAGCAGAGGTGGCCGCTGGGGTGGAGTCCCGGGGCCAGTGTGCTCAGGAGGAGGGCCAGCCCCCCATACCTCGCCCCCCGGCACCTGGGTGTCCTCAGTGCCAGCTCTGGCTCCCAAGAGCCCCAGGGGCTTCCCTGCCGGGCACCGGGGGGCCGGGGGCCTGGCTCCCCCGGCTGCTCCTCTCGGGACAGTCCTGGCCCAGCCCTCGGAGGTTACAGATTTCAGCCTCTGTCCTCAGGGTGGGGGCGGTCTGGGCCGCGGGAGGAAACCATGTCAGAGGGCGCGCTGGGCTTGCCAAGGAGGAACTGCGGGCGTGTCTCTGCTCCTCACCCACTCCTGTGCTGCAGGGTCGGGAGCACATGGTCTGAGATCGCCCCTGGACCGAGCCATGTGGACAGAGCTCCTTGCAGAGGGTCCACAGACACGGTCCGCAGACGTGATGTTTGAGGTCTAGCCAGGAGACAGACAGACAGACAGATAGTGGCGTCCCGAAGGAAGCTGGGAGCAGGGGGCAGCAGTCTGGGTGGGGAGCGACTGTCCCTCCGTCTGGAGTGACTCCACCGAGGAGCCGTCGGTCACCGAGCCCCTCGGAGCGGTGGTCACTCTCACTGTCCACAGGCTGTCCTCTGAGGAAGCCTCTGCTTCCTCACACGTCTGTCTGCCTCACCCCGCACGGTCTCCGCGGGAAGCCTTCCCAGCCCCATCGGCTCCCGTGCTGCCTAAGGCAGAGGGACTTGGCACAAGGGCCAGGGCTGGCAGCACCCAGGGTGGGGCCTGGAGGGGCTCCCTGAGTGCCTGCTGCACCCGGGGCCCCCGGGGCAGGGCAGGGCCAGCCTCTTGGCGACAGGGAGAAGCCCCAGGAGGGGAGGCGGGTTGGGGGAGGAAAACCACCCCGGGGCCCGGGAGGAAACAGTTGCTAGGCTCCGTCTCCCGGTGGGGGTAGCGGGAGGCAGGCTGGGGTGAGCCGCCTTTGTCCAAGGAAACCCGGGTCCGAGCCTGGGAGGCAGTGAGCCCACGCTCAGCGTGTTTCCATGTCCTTCCCGGGCCCTTGAGTCGGCCTGGTGGGCACGGGGCCAGGGGCAGGGAACCAGGCGCTAAGCCAGACATCAGCCCCGGCTCCCAGGGGCCCCCAGCCCAGTGGGGAGAAACTTGTAAACAGACCCTCGCGGCACGGCGCGGAACCACAAGGTATCGCGTGGCCTTTGCAAGTCACTCAGACCTCTCTTCTCCTCAGTGCACCCGTCTGCGAGATGGGTGGACGCCACCACACCTACCGGATAGCGCTGGGTGAGGGCGAAAGGAGACAGGCCGTACCCGGCGCGCGGTTAAACGCTATCACACAGGATGAGCAGTCTCCCTAGTGAGGCGCGGAATCCATCACAGGTTTGCTGCGGGGCTTTTAGGGGTTAGAAATGTAACCTATCATACAGTTCACCCACCTACAGTGCAGGACAGGGGTGTTTAGGACAGGCACAGTGAGAGGGGCGGCTGTGCCCACACTCCATTTTAGAACATTGCCTGGCCTCCAGGGAAACGCTATACACACACCTACACACACACCTCACTCTCAGTCCCTCCCAAGCCTAAGCGACCGCTCATCTTTCTCTAGGGACCTGCCTCTTCTGGGCGTTTTATGTCCATGGAATCACACGTCACGTGGTCCTTTGGGACCGGCTTCTTCCAGGGGCACCGAGTGTTCAGACCTCACCTGAGCTGTGACATGTCCACTGGAGGGTTTGGCGCCAGAGAGGGGCGTGGTCAGCTTTCCATCTTGCTGGGTCAGTCTTGTGTAGGGTGAAAGGAGGGGCCTTTCGGGAGAGCAGGTGAGAGAGGAAGGGCCTGGGCCAGGGCACGGGGCCGGGGGCAGTGGGAGCTCCATCAGTGGTGGGTGACACAGAGCATTCGCTCCGTCGCCCGTTCGTTCCCTCGAACGGCGCGTTGCCTGTTTGGAGAGAAGTAAGTGGTGGAGGATGTGTCTCTATGCCCCAGGCACCGTGGTAGGCATTTGGGAAGCGGCTGAAGACCTGGTCTATGTGGCGTGAGAGGGAGGGGAGCATGTGGCGGTCAGGGGAGGTGGGCAAGGACCTGCTCTAGGAGTTTAAAGTTTTAAAATATATATATATATATATATATATATATATATATAAATATATATTTTTATTGACTTCAGAGAGGAAGGGAGAGGGAGAGAGAGAGAAAAAAACATCAATGATGAGAGAGAAAATCATTGATCGGCTGCCTCCCGCAGGCCCCTCACTGGGGATCAAGCCCGAAACCCGAGCATGTGCCCTCACCAGGATTGAACCGTGACCTCCTGGTTCATAGGTCAACACTCAACCACTGAGCCACACTGACCCGACTAGGAATTTAACTTCTATCCTGGTGGCTCTGAGGAGCTTCTAAAGATTTAAAGCAGCCCCCGCTGGTCTGGCTCAGTGGACAGAGCGCAGGCCTTCCGACTGAAGGGTCCCAGGTTCCATTCCAGTCAGGGCACATGCCGGGCTGTGGGCTCGATCCCCAGTAGGGGGCGTGCAAGAGGCAGCCAACTGATGATTCTATCTCATCACTGATGTTTCTATCTCCCTTTCTCTCTGAATTTAAAAGAAAAAAAGTATTAAAAAATAAATAAGGATGTTAAGCAGAGGCTTCAAACGGGATGTGGTCAGTTCATATTTTAAAACCAAACCACTGTGGGAAATGAATGAGAGCAGGCCAGATGGGGACAGGGAGGGGCCCCCCCGCAGGAGGCCCCTGAGCCGGTGCAGCAGATGCGAAGGCCCGTGCTAAGCTAAGCTGTGGGCTGAGGAAGGAGGGCGCTGAGGAGGGAGGAGCAGTGCTTGCTTTGGAGCCCCAACAGTCAACTCAAAAACAGCGGCACCTTCGCAGAGAACCTCTGGCACACAGCGCTTCAGGGTGGGCAGAGGGGGTGGGCAGAGGGGGTGGGCAGAGGGGTGGGCAGAAAAGGGGGTCGGGAAGAAGCCTCCAGGAGGGGGGAGGAAAACTGGAAAAGAAGGGGAGACACCAGGGAGGAGCGAGTTTGAAGAAGGAGGGAGTCGTCCAATGCAGTGGCCAGATCGGGTCCACTAAGGATGGTGTCCATGGCTTGGCCACTTATAGATCCCGGTGACCCTGGTGATGGTCAAGCAAAATGAGAGAGGTGGCCCGGCTATGTGGGTCCCTGGTTGAGCGTCGACCTATAGAACCAGGAGGTCGTGGTTCCATTACCGGGTTGCCCGCTCAGTCCCCAGCAGGGGGTGTGCAGGAGGCAGCCGATAGATGATTCTCTCTCATCATTGATGTTTCTCTCTCTCTCTCTCTTCCTCTCTGAAATCAATACAAATTTTTTTTTAAATAAGAGGGAATGGATGAGGCGAAGTCCCTGAGGAGTGGAGAGATGGGGTCAAAACAAAGACCTCCTCCCTGGGAGCTGGGAGGGGAGGAAGCAGATGGAAATATTTGAAGAAAAGGGAGCCGTTCATGCTGTCTGAGGTCCATGCCACCAGGGGCACGGAGGGCGAGCTTGTTTGCTGGGAAATAAGGGCCTGACGGCAGAGGGGAGGGAGGTGACCAGGCACAGACAGGTCAATGGCCCGAGGGCTCTGCTGGGGACCAGGGGTCTGAGTGGTGATTGGCCTGCTGCCTCAGGCCCCTCGGCTTTTCCAGTTCCTTCCCACCCGCCATTGCAGTTGCTCTGACTCTGCCCCTGGAACCCCCTCCGTTCCTCTCCTCTCTTTTTTAAAAATGAGTCTATTGGGGTGACCCTGGCTAAGGAAATGATATTGGTCTCAGGTGCACAGCTGCACAACACACCATCTGTCCATGATCCTGTACGCTCCCCACCCAAGTCAAGTCTCCGTCCATCACCATCTACCCCTCCCCCCCTTCGCCGCTCTGCAGCCACGGGAGGGTCAGCCTGCAGCCAGGGCCTGGCAGAAACAGCTGCACTGCTGAGGGCGAGGGCTGTGTGGGGGGCAGAGCAGAGCACCCCTCTGCTTTATCCGGCGGGGAGATGCTTGGCCTCCGTGGAAGGACCAATAGAGGTCAGCCCTGGCGCATCTTGTCAGCCTCAGAGCTGCTGGGGTTTGGCCTGAGTCTCCCGGAGGGGGGCGGGGGGCTGGGGGCAGAAGCAGCTCTCCCCAGCATCCTCCCCAGCCCCCACCCACTCTCAGACTTTTTTTCAGTCTTCCTTCCCTGATCTATTAACTTGAATTCATTTTCTCCCTCACCATGCCCACAGCCGTTGCAATCATGGATGATCTATTAACTCACAGTCATTATGATCATTACTGAAATGATTAGTGTGCCTTCGACTTAAGCCACTTTTTGTACAAGAAGACGATGCCACTAAGTGGGGATGAGAGAGCAGCTGGTGTTTTCTGGTGAAAATAAATGAAGGGTCTCCTTCCATCCCTGTAGCCAAGGAATGGGTCATTCGCTTGGTAACTGATGGGGGCGGGGAGGGGCTGGCGGCTTCAGAAATGAGTGCCAGCCAGTGGTGAGGAGCTTCTATGTCTAAAAGCAGGGCCCCGCTCTTCGAGGCAGCTATTTCCCTCCGTTGCACAGGTGAGGACACGAAGACGTACAGGACAGTTGTGAGACTTACCCTGGAGGGCGCCGATAGAGTGTCTCACACATCAAAGC